TAGCCCTGATCAGTAGCGAAGCCTAATCCCCTAATGCACTGTGGAGCAGCAGGAATAACGTTTGAAGGGCAAACATCACAGTGCATGGGGCTGTTAAAGGAGTAAAAAGGGATAGCGGTAAGAACAGAGGACCAAGATCAGCGCCAACAGCAAAGGAAGAACTAAACAAGACAACACAGGACAAAGTGTATCTGACAAGGCCCAGAGAGGCAGTGCTTGCTCCTGGAAGTCAGCCCTCACAGTGACACATGATGGGGCAAGCAAATATCTCAACTAAAGGTAAGAAAATAACAATTTTGGCAGGATGTGACACCCATGATTGGTGCAAACTGTTGAGAAAGCTTTGAGAAGGATTAAATGCTTGTTGCAACAAACACTCAGGCTCCTGAATAGTTTTGGTTGCTTGCAACTCTCCAAACAATTCTCATAATTGGTTCCCAGGCATCTATCACTGTTGTATCTGAAGCGCCTAATACAAAATTAAGGGGCACTGTCAAATTAGTTTCTTTACATTTACTCAATAAATTAAAATCCTGTTTCTGGGAAAGCTTTTAAATGCTGTGGCTGGATCTTATTTTATTTTAAAGTTATATTTCAAGGACACAAGGGACCATTATGATTATTTCATCTGACCAGCTGCATAATGCAGGCCAAAAAATTTATCCCCCCATGATTCCTGTGACAGGGACAGTGCTGGTTGAGTGAGAGTATGTGTTTTAGAAAAACATCAGTCTTGCTGGGAAGACATCAAATGATGAAGACTCCACCATATCCTTTGGTAAACTGTCCCATTGGTTAATCCCACTCACTCTTAATTTGTGCCTTATCTCTAGTCCGAGTTGGTCTAGCTTCGACTTCCAACCACTGGGTGTTTATACCGCTCTCTACCAGGTTAAAGAGCCCTCTAGTATCAAGAATGTTCTCTGCATGTAGGTATTTACACACCAAGATCAAGTCACCTCTTAACCATCTCTTGGATAAGCGAAATTGAACTTCTTAAGACTTGCTGTAAGGCCATTTTTCCCAGACCTCAGATCGTTCTTGCAGCTCATTTCTGAGCCCTTTCCAATTTGTCAGGATGAGTCTAATAATGGTCTAACTGATGCTGTATGCAGTGGGTAATGACACCTCCCTCTTTCTACTGCATATTTTCTGCTCTACGTTTTGTATTAGCTCTCTTGGCCACTGAATTGCCTTGGAATTTTCTGTTCAGTTGGTTTTCACCATGACTCTTCAGTCCTCTTCAGAGTCTCTGCTTTCTAGATACAGTCCCACATCCTGTACATGTGACCTACATTCTTGTTCCTAGAAGTTTGACCTTGCATTTTAATACAGCCCGATGCATGTTGTTTGAATAAGCCTAGATTCCCAAGTGATCCAAATAGTACTGTAGAACTGGTCTGTCCTTATTGTTTACCCTCTGCCAATCTTTGCCACCCCTAAACTTCACCAGCACTGATTTTATTTAGTTCTTCCAGATCACTGAGAGAGTAAGCATGGGCCCACGCTCTTGTCAAACCCCTGGACTGGGGAGACTCACTCCACCACAGACTTCCTGTACGAACTTATGCCAGTCACTTTGTTTCTCAGTCCCCTTCTGTACGAAGGGGATAATCCCACTGTCCTACCTCACCGAGGTGTTTGTGAAACTAAATACCCTGAAGCCTGGAAGGTGCTCAGATACTACAATGATGGAGGCTGTATAAGTATCACAGATAAAAACAGTGTGTAGCATTGGACCAAGGCTAGATTGCTGGGGGATCCTCCTAGATTAGAAGCACTTGAAAATAAATTTTTTTTTCTTCAGATTTTCTCTCTTGTTGGGTCCTGACCCCGCACTGACTCAACATGTGGAACGTTCTGCTCTGAGGAGTCCCGCTGAAGTCGTTCCAGGCTGAACAGCCTTACTGTTGGACAGATGCATAAGCAAGTCAGTCCTTGCAGCATCAGGGCCTTGATATTTGAATCTTTTCGGCAAGGAAGAGTGACTATGCTGCTGTCAAAGCCCAGCCTAAAACGTCTTAAAAACTCACTAGGTCCCGTTGCAGTAGTTGAGGGTGTTATGTGTAGCTATAGTGGGTACAAAGTGTTCAGCCAGATGTGACTTTCACGTTGATACCTCTTTAAGACTCACCAAATTTGTCCATATAGGAGCCTGCTCTTTACTGTTGCTACATTCACCTGCAGTTGCTTGAGGAGCAGCGGTGGGGTTTGCAGCATGCGCTAAAGGGGTGTGGACTTTTCACCTTCAACATTACAAAAAGGTCAATTTATTGGAAAAGTTTTGAGGAAAACCAGTTCTGCCCTCTGAACTGAGGCTGAAAGTCTTTGACTATTCTGTTGTCATCCTTTTTTTTCCCCCCCTCCCTGGGGACAGTGGGACCTTGAAATCTGTCAGGTGCATAGTGCTCATGTTGGAGGAAAGCCCCAGCCATGGTTGAGAAGTGGGCTAATGAAGCAAGATCTGTGAGCACACTGACTAGCATTTGCTAAGACTTTTCCTGATCCCCTGGCCTCGCAATGCATTTGGGTGTGTGAGAATGAAATGCACCACCTCTTTAAAAAACAATCTTAACCAGACTAAGGAATCGGGGTGAGAACTCTTCTAGCTCAACTGTGGCTCCACTATGCAACTTCCACATTTTCATTTACAAAAATCTTAGTTTTTGTTGCCAAGATACAATATAACAGGAGTGGCCAAACTTACTGACCCTCCAAGCTGCCTATGACAGTCTTCAGAAGTCCTAGACCCGGGGCTCGCCTGCCAGGCTCAGGGCTTCTGCTGAAGGCCTGAGCCCAGTACGCATCCCCGCAGGCCTGAAGCCCCAAAACCCCACCCCGCAGAGACCATGTGTGGTCACGTGCCCACCCGGATTTTTGCCAGGGTTTGCTGGCTCTGCTCGGTCATGTGGTGCTGCTGGGTCCTTCCTGCATGGCAGTTGCTGGAGCTGGCAAGCTGGGAGTTGCAGCCCTGGGGAAAGGCCAGGCAGCGGCAAACAGCTGTGAGGTGCAGGGAGAACTGCTGCTTTTACTGTTGCCTCTCCTCGTGGAGCTAAAGCCGCAGCCCCCTCCTTGCAGCTCCCAGCTGTTTGCTGCTGCCTGTTCATGCAGAGCTAACATTTGAGAGCTACAGGGAGGTTCCCTAGAGGGTGAAAGGGGGTGTGTGCCTGGGAGGGGATGACTCAAGCTGGGGGGGGGGCAAAACTTTAGATTGTAGGCCCCTGGCAACAGCAGGCACTAGTCGTCCTCTGGCAGACGCTCCTAGCCCCACCACCTGCTGCAAGGCAAAAGCCCCGAGTTCCTCCCCTTCCCAGGCTGATAGGTGGAGAATGATGTGAGGGAGGGGGGCTCCATGAGCTGCACTTTAACTGTAAAGGAGCCACATGTGGCTCGGAGAGCTGCGGTTTGACCACTCCTGCACTATAACCTAAGGTACATAAGAATAAGAACAGCCATACTGGGTCAGACCAAAGGTCCATCTAGCCCAGTGTCCTGTCTTCCAACAGTGGCCTGTGCCTGGTCCCCCAGAGGGAATGAACAGAACAGGGAATCATCAAGTGATCCATCCCCTGGTGCCCATTCCCAGCTTCTGGCAAACAGAGGCTAGGGACCCCTTTCCTGCCAGAACTAAGCACAGTAACACTAAAACAGATACACGGGGGTTACCATCTGCTCCTCTGCTCTAATGTGGTACATTTCCCTGTGCAGCCCAACGTGACTTTAGCCTTTGTAGTTGCTGTATAACAGTGTTTAGCTATATCTCTGCCCACTCTCAGCATCAGTGCTCCTCATTTTCTTCCTCCCAGGGTGTACCTGTGTTTCAGATTATTTCCCCCAAATGTATGAGCTGCATTTTTAATATGATAAATCTCATTTGGTTATTTCCTGCCCATGTTCCTAATCTCCAAAAGGGCACAGAGAAATTCTCTGTCCTTTGTGGTATCTACACATTTAGCATGCTTTCCACTAAAGTTTGTACAAACGATTCCTTCTGAACCTTTTACCATGGGCCTGTCTAATCTGTGTAACACTTTATTTTGCACAAGATGACAAATTACTCCACATTAATAGTGCTGTGAGACTACTGGACAAAGTGAGCTTCTTGTGAAATAAAGAAAAATGCTAACAGAAAATAACACAAAGAGGTGGTGGTATTGCTCCCCTAAAGTCACGTGCTCTCATGGATGAAGCCCAGGGTTAGGAAGCAGGAGCTCAGTTCCTACCCCTGCTGCTGACTGGCCTTAGTCTGCACATACAGCACTTCACAGACCTTAATCAGGCCCATTTTATAGATGGGGAAATTGTGGTGCAGAGGTGAGGTGACTTGCCCATGGTCACAGCATGTCAGTGTCAGAACCAGGGTTTGAAGCCTAGTCTCATGTTTAGGTCCTAGCCTGGTCCACTGGAGCAGAGCATCACCTCGGAGGTGGTACCCCGGCTGTGCAACAGGAGCCCCCTCTATTTCCCTGAAGTTTCCACCATGCTCCGTGTCTGTCAGCTTCTCCAAGGCAAGGTACAGCCTCTGAACTCCTCCCCGGTCCACAAGCAAGTCCCCCTCCACTCTTGCCAGGCTGCTTACAGAGGAGCAGGTTACCTACGGTTGTTCCCTTTCCCCACCCTGTCTGTGAGGCCGTCTGCTTAAAATGAGTTCCTAGGAGCCAGAATGGACTCTTCTCCTAGCATGTCACGAGTGCTACTGGAACCCAAGGGCAGTCACAACACTACCGGGGTTAGTGCGGCTACAGCCCCCGTCCTTTTTACAGACCCCACGGGTGAATGACTTGCCCTGTGCTGTGGCCAAACAAAGTCCTCTATCCCACTACTCGTGCCGCTAGAGACCCCCCCACACACACTATCCAGATGGATTTTGGGGTGGAATGGAGGCCCAGGCTGCCCTCCCTTTGGGAAAGGCTTTCCACCTGCGGTTCCTTTCTGCAGCAGCCAGCTACGCTACAAGGGTCCAAGCCCAGGAGGAAGCAACAGCCATGGAAGGTGACTCATTACACATAAAATTAATTTATTTTCCCTCTGTTCATCGGCTGTGGCTCGGCCACTGGAGCAGACTGTATCCCGACAGCCCGCTCTCACCAGTACTGCCTGAGCAGACGCCTCCCAGCTCCATTCCCATGTGCAGCAGCAGCCCAGATCTGCCTGTTGTGGGAGGAGTGGGGGCGGGGAGGGTCAGTCAGGTGCCAGCGGCAGAGGCCAGGCTGCTGGCGTCCTGTGGGCCACGTGGAGCCGCAGCGGTGGTTGGGCTACAGCTCAATGCAGCGTGCTGTTGCTCTGCTCCTCGAAGGCCATCTTGCCCAGCAGTTGGCTTTCCAGCTCCACATTGCTCACTGGCAGCTGGAAGAAGTTCATCTCGGCTGCCAAAGCAGCCATGGCAGAGGGGTCCTGGCCAAACTGGGCCCGAAGCATCATGTCCATTTTCTCCAGGCGCCGCTTGAGCCTCTTGGCCTCACGCTCCCGGATGAGCCGAGCCTGCCGCTTCTCCGGGGTCTCATTAGCACGTTTCAGTCTCATGGCCTCCCGGTCCCTCTGCAGCCGCCTCGCCCGCTGTTCATCTGTCTCTTGCATGCGCTGCAGGCGTTTAGCCTCTCGGTCCCGCATGCGCCTCACCTCCCGCTCCTCTGGCGTCTCGTTGTCCCGCCGGCTCTTCTTGGCCGTGCGCTCCCGCTCCAGGCGCTGAAGCCGCACTTCCAGTGGCTCGTTCTGCCGGCGAAGCGCCCATTTGCGCACGCCAGGAGCCTGTGCCTCCAGCAGCTTGCGATAGGCAGCACAGTTGTTGCACACTAGGAGGATGCCCGCAGGATACACAGGGGCGTTAAAGGCAACGTCCTCCTCAGCACCGGAAGGGCCCTCGCTGTGCGGGGTAGGCAAGGAATCTGCTAGCACTTCTGGCAGTTTCTCACTGGAAAGCAGAAAGAACAGAATCAAGGATCTCCGGCTGACACAGTGTGCCCTGCAGGGAGCTGCCCGCACAGGGGAGAGGCAATGGCCCAGCCACTAACAGCCCACGATAGTGGTGTGCATCAAGGGCTTTGGTGATGTTAACATACCTGGACACATTTGCCAGGAGCACCCACGTAAAGGGTGTGGGGACAATGTCAGCAATGAATTAAGGCTGGGGAGACTGAACTCAGGAATTACCCAGTTAGCCGCTCAGATGCTCCAGCCCTGGCACCTTTGGATTTCATGCTTCAGTTGTAATTCTGCTACTGAACAGCTCATCCATCAGAGCCAGGGTTACCTGAGTCCAGAGCCTGAGAGCCACCTGCCCCGCCCGGAGACTCAGTGCCCACGACGATTCCTCCAGCAAGGACAAAGGGCAGGGGAACACCATGGGACTGAGCTTGGCTCTAGTGCTCCACCAGACACTGGAATTTCTAGAGTAAAGGAAACAACACTGCTTTCCTGCAGGGCTCTGCGTGGCTTGGGCTAGGACTTAGGGAGCCAGTTCTAGACAGCATGGTCAGGGAGTTCTAGCCCTGAGCACAGACTCTGGATCTGCCTGTGGCGAGGGACAGCTGGAAGTAGGCTCCCTTGGGGAATAGTTCCAGCTCTCCCGCAAGTGCAGGGTAGCAGTAGTTAATGTTTTACTCCAGTCTCCAAAGGCTGAGGTGATCAATCCGGTGGCTTCACCTGAAGCAGCCCTGCTAATTGTGACTCTCGGGGCCTGACATGTCTGCATGCAACCCCAACCGAAGCGGGAGGAAAGTCTCACCTGTTGAATGTGGCATGGCTGGTGAAGCGCGCCCCACACACTGCACAGTTTGACAGTTGGTCCTCTGAGTGGATCAGGAGGTGTCGCCCCAGGGACCCTGGGGAGCTGAGAGCTCTGCCACACACCGGACACATGTAGCTCTTGGCGCTGACCACAGCTGCAGTGTGCTGCAAAACAAGCCCTAGGTTTTCAGTGACCAAACTGCCCAGAAAGCCTGCTCTGCCTGTTAAATGCTTGGTGGGTATGGAGAAATCTTTCAGCTCCTCCCCGTGGTTTGGTACTTGGCTTGCCTCTGTTGCTACCACCAGAACCTTTGTCTGTAGGTTCCCGGGCAAAGCCCAAGTCCTTGAGAATGAACTGCAGTGGTAGGCATGTTGGTTATGGGAGGTGAAGCTTGTTTACGGCTGCATGTCAGTGCATGAGGAGGCAGTTAGGGCTCAGGCCCTTGGAGCGGAAGGGCCTGGACAAGTCTACTTGCAGTATTCACTGCTGCAGCTGAGGGAGCGCTTCCTCTGTGTAAAGCGTGATCGAGCTCACTTAGGGAAGGTGCCTGCAAACATGTGCATGCAAAACCGCCTCACTGTAACGGCAGCTGGGAACTGAGACTGGGTTAGAATGGGTTTCTGTGCCTAGTTTGAAAACAGATGGAGATTCCCAACCGGGGCTGAAATTAGCTGAGGTCAGCCCCTAGAGTTGTGAGACGGGGCGTGGCAGAGAGGCCACGTTCCAGAGCGCTTGGCTGATTCTACTATTCTGGTTTGCAGCGTCTACAGTCATCTTCAATTACTTTCCAGCTGGAAATGTGTCTTTGCTACTGACAAAATCAGAATCAGGATAACCCCACAGTCCCTCCTCCAGTGTCAAGTCTGAAGGTGGGGCCAGCAAAGGGCTCCTCCAGGTCCTTCTATCACTTCAGTTCCTTTCACCCCGAGAGAGGGCTGAGCCCTGGTTATCTAAGTTCATCAGGAAGACGTCTCCTACCTGGTACACGTGAGCAATGAGCTGCTCTCTGCTCCCACATTCCAGCTGGCAGAGCGGGCACTGCGACAGTCCCAGCATGGGGCCTGTGTTCAAATCCTCAGTCACCTAAGAACAAGGAGAAGCCAATTCAGTAAGAGTCAGGAAAAGAGATTTCCTTCTCGCAGCCCACCCCACTCTCACGTGCACTGCAGCAGGACACTCCATAAACCCTTCTGCCTCACATCACCTCACTGCCTGCACAGCTCGGACAATATGCCTGACCTCGCTGCATTTTGACCTGGGTCCTTGGCAGTGCGGGACTATTCCCAGCTCCTCTGTGCAAACAGGAGGAAAAAGCCGACCTCACGCAGAGCTTCTATAGCCCACAAGGCAGAAGAGTCAGAAGCGCCATGGAGTCCACAGGTTTCTTGTGGGCACTGCATAGGGTCGGCTTTTTCCTCCTGTTTGCATGGCGGAGGCACTGGAACAGTTCCCCCACTGCCAAGGACCCAGGTCAGCGAGGAGTGAGGTAGGCCATGTTCTCTGACCTGTGCCAGGCAGACAGGTGGTACAAGGCAGAAGAATTGGACATGGAAGACACTTGGGATTGGCTGACAAGGTGAGCGAGGTAATATCCTCACCCACCCTGTCTCTCTCATATTCTGGAACCTAGATGGCGCTAACTGCATGGCCTGCGTGGCAATCAACAGCAAGGGTGGATGGAAGTGGATCAGAGAGACAGCAGAGGACTCCGTCCAGTGCCATGTCCTGGGAGTGGCTCACTTGAGCAGCTGTAGTTCAGATTCCCTCTGCCCCCCCCTTCTGTCCCCTACCACAGAGCGGCTGCTCCTGGCAGTCCAAGAGCTCCCAGAACAGTAGCCTACATGCCTTGGCCCGTGTTTGGAGAAGGCAAGATACATAGCACCACTCCCCATAAGAAAACTGAGCCAGACCTGAGTAGGTGCCCAAGCACCTCCATTGGGGGCAGGGATAGCTCAGTGGTTTGAGCATTGGCCTGCTAACCCCAGGATTGTGAGCTCAATCCTTGAGGGGGCCACTTGGTCCTGCTAGTGAAGGCAGGGGCTGGACTCGCGGCCCGTTCGGGGTCCCTGCCAGCTCTAGGAGGTGGGATGGGGTATCTCCATTCTGGGGCGCGGCCAGAACGTACTGCAAGGCAGTGAACCGCTTGCCTCATTTGCTCCAATCCGCTGGTTTCCAGCTACAGGCTGCTCTGCAGTTTCGAATTCCTTTTTCACTTTCACCATTGTGCCGTCCTCCTCAGAGGTGTGCGAAGAGACTTCGTCCTGCGTGGTCTCCTCTTCCTCCCCCTCGCTGTCGCCTGGAACACACAAACCAATCACTTGGGGCCCTACGCAGCAGCTTCAGGCCAGCCCCGAAAACAGTCCATAGCTACAGGACTCATCAAAGTGTACACCCACCCTGCACCCTCCAACCCTTCCCCCAGTCAGTCTCCTCCATCCATTACCCGAAGGTGCTGAACTCACTGCTGCTGGAGTCTTGATCCTGCAGCTGGTGAATTGTTGGCCGCTGGTCTCCAAAGGCTCCAGGAAAGTCACTTTTCATCATGGCCTGGCGGGCTTGCTCCTCCAGGCCTGCGAAGACCTGCTCCCCTAGCAGCCACAAAGACAGAACAGTCAGAGGCTGTGTTTCCAGCGCACTCTTCAGCATGTTCACCAGGAGCGACATTCAGGCACCAAGCTGCTCAGACACACCTGCTCTTATCAGCCTCAAGCAAGAATCTGTTGAAAGCTCTGCACTGTCCTGCCCCAGGGCACCAACACCCTTGTGCCTGCTTAGCATGGGGCTAATTGTTAGAAGCTGGTAGTGACAAACTCCTGCCCCCAGTCACCCCTCCCCACCAAAAACACACTGCACCCTGCCCATCCTCTCCCTAGATCCCCGGCCTGGCGCACAGAGCCGGTAGAAACCCTCTTCTAGCCCAACGTATGCTCACGCCACAGCCAGATGGGCCCGACAGAGCGTGCTTTCACCACATGGCCACGCTGCCAGCAGGGGGACTGATGTAAATCATTGGTTTTTAATCTTGTTTTGTATTTGTAATTAATTTTTTTTAAAAGAAGGTTGATTCTCAGTGGTTGGTAACCATTAAAACATGTTGATTTGCAGCTAAATGTAGCTGTTCCACTAGATTCGGCAGGTTTCTGCGAAGCAGCAGGATGTGCTCTCTTTACACACATTTAAGCAATTTTACAGCTTAGTCAGATTCTGAATGGTTACACGTTTTATATTTTGTTAGCAAATGGCAAGTGCTACACTTCCTGGGTGATCTGTTTTCCTGGTGAGCTGTGTCAAGCTGCATTTGGATGGAAATTGGAATGCAATTACAAATGCACAGACTCAGCATTGTGACGCTGTTCTAAAAGACGCCGCATGTCCAGGGGGGATTATTTTGGGGAAGTGCTGTGGCCTGTGTTATGCTGGCGGTAAGACTACTTGAGCACCGAGTCCCCTCTGGCCTTGGAAGATAAGACGTTGTTTCTCATTAGCTAAACAGAACTACCTGAAATGTGCTAGATACGCCGGGAACAATGAATTTCTCAAACCCTGTTTGGCATCTCCACTGGGTCTATGCAAGGCCGTATTAGCGGCAGTTACTGCAGTGACCTGACCGGGGCCCAGAGCCACAAAAGCACTTACATGCCTAAGCCTCAGGGGGACCTGCCCAAGTGCCGGGTTTGGCTCCACTGTGATCCACAAAACTCCCATCAAACTTTGTAGGTGCCTAAACTCACTTGGCACCAAAGTCTCTGCCTTGGGGCATGTGCACTGCTATCTCCCACTAGGCGTCTGGGTGCCTGTCTCACACCCAGCCCCAGGGCATTCCATGAACCGGGGGAAGAGAAAGGACTTGCACAGGGCTCTGCCACCGCTCCAGATAGCGCTCTCACCGCTGAGCTATGGGTTATTCTGATATGAGGATGACTTGGTCGCCACAGATACTCCAGCAAGAGCATGGGAATGAGAGAGCTAACAGACCCTGGGCCACGCCCCCTGCTCCGATCACTCTTTCAGTATTTCTCCCCCACCAGTCTCCATTTTGTGTGACACCATGAGGTGCCTACCTCATTCCCGCAAGAAACCCCTTCAGCACCGACACTGCCTGGCTGCAGGGTTCTGTTCCTGGCTCGCTAGCTGCAGCCTGGGCTGAGGCACTTTTCTCCAAAGAGGGATGGGGGCTTAGCACACACCCTTGCGCATCGCCCTTAGGCAGCCCCTTGCCTGGTGCGCTGGCTTCTGGGGCTCCCGTTCTTAGGCCTCTCTCGCCCCATGCATTGTATAGAGGCCCCAGCACCTAACTCAGCTCTACGGATCGCAGCCTTGGTCCTGTGCAGCGTGACAGTGTTGCAACCTCTCTGTCCCATTGTGAATCCCACCCATGGTGCTTCCCTGCCACAACTCTAATGGTAGCCAGGTGCCTAAACACCTTGAGGATCTGGGCATCTGGCCTTCAAGATTTCAGAACCAGTAGCTCTCACCCACTCACACCTTATTTCTATTCATTGACTGGACGAGGAAAACAAACTTTCCTGCCAGTTCAACTCCGAGCTGGTGCTCAACTTTGAAGTCACTGAACGGAACTAGCTGAATAAACTGAAATGAAGGAAATATTCTCTCTGCACCTGTAGATGAGGCTGCTGCTGTCAGAAGCTAGGTTAGCATTAGACTCTGGTTCCCCATGCTTAGCCAGCAGCTGCTGCCAGTTCAGGGATAACTTTCCTTAACAGCTCGGCAGCAAACAGATACGGCTTGAATGCTTTTTATTGGATTTCAACTATTTGAGTAGGTTATTGTAAATTTAGGCCTCAATATACGTTATCATAATTCAAATAGAGCTTTTCTTTTAAAAAATAAACCTATTTAAATGCAAAATCTAACAAAAATAATATTTTTTTAAACGAAGGATTGATTTTTATCCACCCTGATTATCTGACAAAAAATGTGCAAAAATGGAGTGAAGGTTGAGATTGCATATCAGTAATTTAGGGTAAAAGATGTCACAATAATGTTGTAATTAGCCCCAAATCAGGCACTATAAGCTCAGACGTTCAGAGTTAGGGTTACTATAAAAGAACACCACCCATGATAAGGTCTGGAAATGCTCTGGTAGGTCCCGACACAACTTTAACTTTGCCCTGCAGTGACCCTATGCAATGATCAGACCATTCTCATAAGTGCTTTTTAATGCTTGAGATCACACATTAGATTAAATCAGTGGCTCTCAACCTTTCCAGATGACTGTACCCCTTTCAGGACTCTGATTTGTCTTGCGTACCCCTCCCCCCCCCCTGCTTAAAAACTACTTGCTTACAAAATCAGACATAAAAATACAAAAGTGTCACAGCTCACTGTTACTGATAAATTGCTAACTTTCTCATTTTTACCATATAATGATAAAATAAATAAATCAGAATATAAATATTGTACTTACATTTCAGTGTATAGTATACAGAGCAGTATAAACAAGTCATTGTCTGTATGAAAGTTTAGTTTGTACTGATTTCGCTAGTGCTTTTTATGTATCCTGTTGTAAAACTAGGCAAATATCTAGATGAGCTGATGTACTCCCTGGAAAATCTCTGTGTACTCCCAGGGGTACATATACCCCTGGTTGAGAACCAGTGGATTAAATAGATTGATTGTTAAAGACACATGATATTTTCTCTTGTTTATCCCCCTTCATGGTGTCACTAGGGGGCAGAGTTAAGGTTATTTGGGTGCCTTACCTGTGCACCCAAAACTTAACATGTTTAGCTGTCGCTTAAATTTAACCCAAAGTCTGAATTTCCTGGGTTTATAATGCCTGATTTTAGGGTAATTACAACATCCCTGTATATGTATTTTACCCTAAATTACTGTCATGCACCGTAACATGAGACCTTAACTCCATTTTAATCTAGCTTTTGTCTGTGAATTTCTTTGTTAAATTATTAAAAAGTTCCAAACCCAACAAAAATGCTACCATGGGATATTTCTAATGATTTGAAGTTGTTGTTGTTATTCTAACTAACCTCTCAGGCCAGATTTACGGGTGTGCTCTGGCTGCTTTACCTCACTAGAGAGCAGTGCAAAGCAGCTGGAGCACAGTGGCTGGTTAAGCTGCGCTTCCAGCTTCTTTGCATTGTCAGAGCAGCACAAAGCAGCTGGAGTGCACACCCGAGTGTTCCCCCCCATCCTGTTTGCTACATTCTCCTATCCACACATGCCAAATTCATCTTCCCTGCAGTCCACCACATGCCCCCCCACCCAAACTCCTGTGTTTTCCTGTCCTCATCAGTTCGCCCTCCTAGCCTCTCAGCTGAGTAGATTTGATGTAACAGGTAGCTTTTGAAAACAAATATTTAGCACTGTCATTCTTTGTGTTATTCTTCATACCTGAAAAATTATCCTGCTAAGAAACTCATACACAGCTCCCCTTTTCAAAATGGCCTGTTCCCAACAGGACTGAGGACACTGGCTGCCCTTAGCAAATATGGTCACTGCCATCCTTTGTTCCCAATGGAAGTGAAGCCAAGCTGCCCTCCAGGAAAATGGTGACTCCCCATACTATCAGGTGGCAAAAATGCTAGGCAAGGGTAGGCATTTGTGCTAAGGACAGCCTCAGTGAGAACAATGGGAGATACTGGCCATTTTGAGAAGTGTATCTTAATTGAGGGCATGTCATGGCCTTAGTCCTACTGAGAATAGGAGATGGCAGCCATGCTGACATAGGGCAGTTCTTTGATTCATCAGCCTCTCTGTACAGAGAACATTAATCCCACACAAACTACTCATTGCCCCAGACCATGCTTCAGCTCTCTGCCAATCTTGTGCAGATTTCAAGCTGAGATTGTTTGGGATGAACAAAAACCTGACATGAGGCGTTACATTTTTCAAGGGACTAATATTTAAATCCATTTTAACCCAAATTAATTGTTGGCTTTATTTGTAAATACTCAGGAAATTCAGTAACAACTCAGAGTAAATGCTGTACTTTTGGAGAAGATGCACTGTACATAAAGAAATTTAAGTGCAAAACTCGCTTTAAATCTGAAGCTATGGCTGGTGCCCCCATAGTTAAAAAACTTCATTGGATTAGCCACCAGCATAAGTATCAATGACAGAGCATGTCCATATTAGGCAGCTGTTTCACTTACTGTTTTGTCCCACGTCCACACTTGCCCTGCATTCTCACTACCTATCCCACAGTCCCTGGCATGCTTGATGAAGCCGTGAGTTGTGAGAGTTCAAAAAGCCTTCAGCAATTCCAGGGGAATTATGGGAAAGGAGGTCAAATTCCCATAATCCCCTGGTAAATTCCCAAAAGCCTCTGGTTGCCAGCATAATTTCCTAATTCTTTTGTCAGAAATGGAGCCAAGGCTGCACACTCAACAAGGAAGGTTTCTCCTGGAGTTTTTAGAAAGCAATTACTAGGTGTGTGAGGCAAGATAGCAAAGGATAGTGTGGTGGGGCCTGTGTCTGAAAGCAGCAGTTCCCAGTCACGTACACCCTCACCCAGTGGATGATTCCAAATAGTGCTGGAGAAGGATTTCGATTGGGTGGAGTGCTGCTTCTGTCCTTTTGGGTCCCAATCTCAACCTCAGACTGGCAG